TCAATGTGGAAAAAACAGCTGCTCTGAAATCTGGAGTTGGCAGGCAGTGGGAAGTGGGTCTTTTCATCCCTGCAGAGGCTATAGCCCCACCATAGCCTTTCTGGAGGACAATTTGAGAATACATAGCAAATGCTTGAAAAATACACATACCCACTGCCCCAGCAATTCTACTTTTAGATGTAGTATAAGGATAATCAATTAAGTGTAGTCAGCAAAGCCTTATTTGAAATAGCAAAAAAAATACAAAAGCAACCTAAATGTTCAACCATGAGGGCAGATTCCATAACTGCAGCCCATACACTCAGGGGGACCCCTTCCTGGGGCTCCTCGTGGGGTCGGGGCTGGGCCACTGCCTCTGAGCTCCAACACAGAGTCAGCAGCAGAGTGGCCTCTCCCTGGGTGAGGACGCTGAACACTGCTGACACCAACAATTATGAAACTGAACCATTAAAACCAGCTGTCTGGGGGAGGAGAGCTGGAGCTGTGAACAACTGTTACTTCCAGTTAATACATTTTTGAATTCCTTGAATTTGTTTTCTAAGCATTTGGTGTCTTACTTCTATAATCAGAAAAGAAACATTATTTTAAAATTTTTGTTGTAAAATGTCTGTTGATAGGGGAGGGTTCACTTTCACAAGACACTGTTGAAATAAGAGTCCACATTACACAAGCATTACGCACAGAGTGAGTCCCATATACTACATAAGTATGCATAGACTGAAATCTGGAATGACAGCTTTTCAGTGTTAACGGTGGCTATCTCTGGGTGGTGGGATTATGAGTAGGTTTTTTTCTTTATATCTGTTACCATTTTTCTATAGTAAAATTTTTTATTACTTTCATAAGAAAAGCAGCTATTGAAAAACACAGCCCCCAGCAGAGTGTTACTGGGTAGAATAGCTGAGGAGTCAGCATGAGCAGAGGCCTAGGGGCGGGAGAATACGGTCCCTGGATGGAGGGTGGCCGTGGCTGGTGGGGCCGGGTAAGGGCCCTGAATCCCAGGTCTTAGAGTCTGGGAGTGATACCGTGGGAAAAGGGGATGGGAGGGGAGCAGTGCAGAGCCAGGCGAGAGAGGGTGGGAGCAAGGTGGCACCCTGAAGGACTTGTAAGCCAGCCGGTGAGGCTGGGCCACAGGGAGAGCAGGAAAAGGGGGTCTGGCCAGAGCATGCAGGGCCGTGGTGGGTAGGGGCTCACCGTCACCTCCTGGTAGGATTCCATGCCATTCAGCACCACCTGGATGACCTGCCGGCGCAGCTTGACGCTCTGCTCTGAGCGGTACTCCGAGTTGGTCAGGTAGAAGAGGGCGGCGCTGCCCGTCACTTGAATGTTCTTGTCATACTTGTGGCACTTGAGGGCCGTGATGACCAGCTATATGAAGACAGGGTAGGGGTCTAGGTTGGTAAGTCCTGTTAAAGTTGTGCTAAGACAGGCCCTCTGAGCCTGGAGGGGGCAGACATGGGGGGTGGGGAACAGAAACTAGGGCAGGGCCATGGTTTTCAGACAAGGCCAGTGCTGGGGCAAGTGGGGTGCTGTAGGGTGGGGATGGGGTTTGGGAGGTAGGACTACTGGTATCCTGGGGATGAGGAGGGGGTATAGAGGAGGGACAGCCAAGTCTAGCACCCTCCAGGTGGGGATGGCCAGGAGCCCGAGGGCCCCCCCACTGCCCCCGGCATTGGTGCTGACCTTCAGGGCCCTCAGAAGCTGGTTGCAACGCTCGATGCGTGCGATGTCAAAAAGCAGGTTGATGGCCCGTGAGGTGATCTCGGGCCTGTGCTCCGTGTAGGCCTCGATGGCGTTCAGCACCTGTTCCTCATTTTTGTCACCACTTACCTAGGGATGAGGCATGCTCAGAACAACCCGGAAGAAGCCAGNCCCCCGGCATTGGTGCTGACCTTCAGGGCCCTCAGAAGCTGGTTGCAACGCTCGATGCGTGCGATGTCAAAAAGCAGGTTGATGGCCCGTGAGGTGATCTCGGGCCTGTGCTCCGTGTAGGCCTCGATGGCGTTCAGCACCTGTTCCTCATTTTTGTCACCACTTACCTAGGGATGAGGCACGCTCAGAACAACCCGGAAGAAGCCAGCTCCGTCTCTAGCCCCAGGGCAGGCACCTGGGGGCCCGCAGCCCACCCCCATCCCTTCTTCCAGGGCCCCCTGCGCCTTCCCTCCTCCACTCCCTCTCACTTTGTAGGCTGGAATGTGAGTGAGGCGGCACAGGGAGGTCTCGAAGAGCCCAAGGAACTGCAGTGGCCTCTTCAGAGCCCGGAAAGGCATGATGCTGCTCTTGGAAGGCTCGATGCTGGGGGAAGAGGGTGCTGGGGTCAGTGGCCCAGGGCCCAGGGCTGCCCTGGGTTCAGCACAGGTTCAGTCTCCCTGGGGTGGCTAGGTATTTAGTAGGGGCCCTTTTCTAGGCCTTCCAGATTCTTTTCTTTTCTTTTCTTTTTAAGGGCGGGGGACACAGACCCCATCTCTTGATGGAAGGGTGGCAAGGTCACATTGTAGACAAACATGTTGGGTGGGCGATATTGTTGTAGCCATCTTTGGAAAATGCTATCCGCCATTCTAGTGAGGACGTGTCACCTTTAGGTGCTACTAACGATCATGAAGGGACATGTCCATCAACAAAACCCTGCTCAAGTATAGGTGGGGATAGGGCTTATGGCCAATTACAGCTGGATGGGTTTGAATCAGATCTCTCAATCAACCAACCCTATCTGTCCAAACACCTAACAAATGGCAGATTGCCAGCCTCATCTTAACACCACCACACTGTCTCTGGCCACTCTGAGTGTCGTAATTGCCCCATCCCTCCTGGTGCTTACACGTTCCAGCCTTTGCACGTGACGTTCCCTCTGCTAGAACACGCTTCCTCTGGCAAACTCAGACTGTACTTTTACCGCAGCTTGGAGGCCATTCTTCTTCCTCCCTTCTTCCTGATGGTCAGGGCA